GTTGATCATGTCTGAGAGCTGCTTCTTAATAAATGATTGTGAAACCTTTAAAAAAGACCCTATTATTTTGCTATGGGGATGGGTGGGAATCATTTAAAAATGTAAGAATTCTAAAGTAGACAACAACTCTTTCACTTGGGTTAAGATCTAATGTGCCAGATGCTTGGCTTTCTGTCTTAAAGGCCTGAGCTACCTCTAGGAGGGTCACCCCATGGGTAAGCCAGGCACTCCTCCTTAGCATATTTTGCAGTAGGTTTGTTTACACCAGCATCACCACAAATGCATGAATAATGCATTGTGCTACAACATTATGATGGCTACAATGACACCAAGCAATAGGGATTTTTCAGCCCCATTATAATTTTATGGGACCACTGTCATATCTGTGGTCTTTCATTGACCAAAATGTCATTTCCCAGCACATGACTGTATTTATAAAAAATTAACAAAAGATTTGCAAGACCACTACACTAAAAATTATAAATATTGCTGAGAAAAATTAAAGAAGACTTGAATAAATGGGGACCTATAGCATGGATAGAGAAATATACCATGGGTTGTAAGATTCAATATAGTTAAGGTGTCAGTTGTGCCCAATAGGCTTTTTCATTAAAAATTTATATGGAAATGCTAAGGACTAAGAATGGACAAAAACTTGAAAAAGAAGAACAAAATTGGAGGATCCATATTACTTGATTTCAAGACTAATTAAGCTACAGTAATTAAGGCAGTGTGGTATGAGAACAAGCAAATAGATCCATGGAACATAATAGAGAGTCCAGAAATAGATCCATACATATACGAGTCAATTGATTTTGGACAATGTGCCAAGGTAATTCAATGAGGGAGAAGAAAGTATTTTCAACAATTAGTACTAGAAAAATTAGATAAACTTATGAGGAAAAAAAATGAATCCTGACCCTTACCACACATCACACACACACACATATGTAATTTAAGATAGATTATAAACCTAATGTAAAAGCTAAAACTATAAAGCTCCTAGAAGAAAATGTAAGAGAATATCTTAACTACTTTGGGGTAGGCAGAGTTCTTAGACAGAAAACAAAAAGCATGAGGCATAAAATTAAAAAAATTTGATAACTTGTATTTCATCAAACAAAGAATTTTGTTTATCTAAAGACTATTAACAAAATGAAAAGGCAAGCCACAGACTGGGGAAAATATGCACAATGCATATATCTGATGAAGAACTTGTATCATAAGTACATGAAAATCTTCAATAAGCGTAGAATTAAAAGATAAACTTTTTTTTTTGTACAGGGATCCAAACCCTTGACCTTGATGTTATAACACTGTGCTCTAACCAACTGGGCTTAATTGACCAGCCCACAACCCAGTTTATTAAGTGGGGAAAGACTTAAATTGATACTTTAAAAATAAGATATACAAATAGCCAACAAGCATATGAAAAAGTGTTAAACATCATAGTCATCATGGAAATCCAAATTAAACCACAGTGATATGCCATGAGCCGTCCTGCTATAGGGAAAGGCATGGGAGGCTGAGGAGTGATACCCCTTGTTTTGCAGGCTACAAGGGGGTCCCATGTGTGTGGCACGGCTCCATGGAAGTTCTTGTTTGTTCA